TCATTTGGATCCCCTGCCAAATCATTATCTGAAAAGGCTCTTTAAATCCAAAGTACCAAGAGTAAAATAATATACCATAATAGTACCCTAAAGATACCTAAGTATATCCTTTTAACTGCAATATAATGTGATTCTAATAGAGCATTCGTAAATTAACAAACTCAGATTAACTGAATAGGCTATGTCAAACAGAGTAAAAGTCAAATATTGAAGAGCTCCCACTATTCTTCGGTAATAAGAAGGATCTGAGAATATGGGACTACGATTCTTGAGGAGTTTCTGATGAGGATGACAAGGAGTTGTACAAGGTTTGCAATTAAATATTTGTGCCTTGTGAAGAATGTCAGAAGCATGCTTAGACTTACAAACCTAAAAATAGTGCAGATCCCCTATAAAGAAAGTTGAGGTTCCACCAAAAACTCAATTGGCAATATGTGGAGTAGCCCAACTATTCATAAGCACATGCAAGACCCATTCTTTTTCCGATGTGAGATTCACTCTCAACACGCTCCCTCGCGTGTGATGAATTTTCAAGTTTGACGCATGAACAACACAATTAGGTGACATAGACTACATGCAACCTTTAGGTTTTACACGTGGGATAACCTGCTCTGACACTACTTATAAGCACATGTAAGGTCTTCTTTTTTTCCTGATGTGAGATTCACTCTCAACACCCTAAATCCTTCATATGAAATTCAGTTGAAAGTTTAGACATAATAGCTTGAATTGATTTCTCATTATTCCATGAAAGTATTATGTCATCAACATAGTGAAGCAAAACAGCTTTCAACTAAGTTGTCTAATTTAGCGTCTAATTTATTTTATATTTTATTTAGTTTTAGGTCCTAGAATTGTAATAACGTACCCAAGTTAACTACATATTCATTGAGTTCTGATAGTATTTAGGTCTCGACGGAGGAAGGATCACTCTGGCTCTCTCACTATAATTCAGTCAGATGTTAGCTCTTTATCTTCTCTTACTTGGATGAAATTTATCCTTTATAGACATGCTCTTTCTAAATTATGTCACTTAATTAAAATCTTTCCTTAGTTTATGATGCATGCAACCATTTCATTAACCTTCCCTGTAAATAATTGTTCGTTTTCAAATTATAATGCTTAACTAGTTTCCATAAAAAATTAAAAAAAAAAAGAAAAAAAAAAGAAAAAAAAAAAGAAAAAAAGGGAATTGTTATTGGCACTTCAAAAATCTCATTCTACACTCCAAACTTTCTATATTTGGAAAGAAAAATACACTTATAAGGAGTATAGAATGAGATTTTTGGAGTGCCAATAACACTTCCCAAAAAAAATTATAATGCTTAACTTTATGATGTGTATGCATATACTATGAAAAATAAATATCCTTTGGATAATACTTGTATTTCATATGGAAGTCCACACTACTAAGCATAACTCCTTGGGCGACGAAGAGACATCTATCGCGCAAAGGCAAATAAGGTTGTCGGAAACATTGGGTGGCGAAGAAGACGTCGTGCAAATTCTGTTGCGCAAAGCTTGTGACGTCAGACATTGCGTGATGAAGAAAAGTGCTTCGTCATGCAAAATGAATGTTGCGCGACGGATCTGGTGGTCGTTGCGTGAAACTAAGAGTGACGAATGAGTGTTTGTTGTGCGTGACACTCCAAGCGACGAAACTTGGGTTTGACCCCCAGACCCTTGTGCAACAGACATAAGGCCATCGCAGTCAGATTTTAAAATTAATTTTTTTAAAATAATTTTTATTTATTTTTTCCTTTTAAATGTTGATAATATTGTTTTATGTATAAATTAATTTAATGAAATTAAAAACAAAAAATGTAAAGAAGAATATTGAATTAAAAAATTATTCAAAATGTACATACAATGGAAAGAAATATTTTAAAATTTGAAAACAATTTGAACAAAAAAGAAAAAAAAACTAGAATATGTAGTCGTCCACGTCACAATTGCCTGTTGGTGGTGTTGCTGCTGCATTGGGGGGCTGAGAGGTCATAGCTGCTGCGGCGGGGGGCTAGGAGGTTGTTGTTGGAGGTGGTTCATCAAATTGCTGAAAATGCATTTTTTTTTTGCGCCAAAAAAAAAATTACCCGCAGTTTTCTTATAGAACGCACTTGTGCGACGGATTTTGCTTCGTCACACAAACATCTATTGGCAAATAATTTTTCCTACTAGTGCCACAAAACTCATTTTCTACGAGTTATGTATTTTCATAGTATAAATTTTATAATCGAAACCCTTCATCTTCTTAATCATCATTTGTGGATCGTCCCTTAAGAAAAAGGGCCATATAATTAAAAATGAATTTGAAGCATGTTGCAATGTTTCTTTCATAAAGAAAGCGCAGCAAGCTGTATCAAAAATGAGGAAAGAGCGAGAAGTAAGTATCATAGACATCAGGACATAGGCGGATGGACCATATAGTACGTACGTATCCAAAGTTTACGGATATATGTGCTATATATCAATATTCGTCAATACAGATGACATATACGACTGACAATATACTTACTACAAATGATCGTATTTGTAAATATAGTTAACCGTAACAGTAGAAAATTTATAGAGCTTACGTGATTTCCATGTTACGTAAACAACGTATGGTCTTCGAATTAACTTGTATATATATACACACACTACGTACTGACTGTGATCAGTAAAGAAGATTCCTTATAGACGAAGCTTAAGCTTTTATGTGGCTCAGTCTTGAATCCCATCGTCCATTATGGTGCAGCCCCACAGCCAAAAGATAGTTCTTTGGTTTTTTCGACCTACAACACCATATGGGTCTCTTTCTGAAAGAAAAAAGCAGGTGATTTAACAGAAAAAGAGAAGCAAAAGAAAGAAATAAAGGTCGAAACTCTAGCTTCCTAATCCTTAGTTCTTACTTTGCTGAAATAACATATATAAATGACAAATTAATTATATATACTCTGGTGTTCTCTTTTCTGTTTTATTTGAATTATGAGTTGGGCATTAAAGTTGTGAGACAAGCTGAAGATTTTGTGACGCTAAAAAGGGACATAAAGGTGGATAAAATTTGGGGCATGTTACAGATATTTTCTTTATTGGTCTGCCGTAATTGACTACTTAGGAGTCCTATCTATCACAGTAATTTAGCATGTCATAATAATTAAGAACTATTATAATATTTTTTTTTTTTTTAGCAAAGCTACACAAGAAAAAGGAAAAACCAAGTGGATAAAATTCCCACCTTTTGTTTTATATGTATCTTTAGCATATAATAACCTAGGTTCGCATATGGTTCACAAGATTAATTAATTAGCATCCACCTCCAAGTCTTACTTTTTTGATAGTCACTGTATAATCAACTCTTCCTTCTTGGTTAAGAATTTAAAACAGTAAAAATTTCTATCCCTTTATGTGGGATTTCTCTACCATGCGAGTTCCAAAATTCTTCTTGTTAGTGTAAGTATATCACTTATTAACTCATATGATTCTCTCAGAACCGCCTTTAATGCTCATTGTGGTGCATAATTCTTACTTGGGTAGTGTTATCCATATACTTATTTTTACTTTTCACATATTCTTTTCAATTTTCGGTTGTCAAATCGAATGAATTTGAGAAGATTAATAGAAAAAATTAACAACGATGTGTAGGAAGTAAAAATGGATGTGTGAATAACACTATGATCTATCCTTCTTACTTGCATTGTGATTCACCACAAAGAAGTATATTTGTCTATTTCAACCAAACATTACCAAAATTATTTGAGTTTATTTGGAAGCACTATGTTAACAGGAACCAAACATATCAAATGCCAAGGGTTCTTTTCTTTTCAAGAATGGAAGGGAACCATAACCTTCGATGGAAGGGAATCATAACCTTCTGTGGAAGGGAATCATAACTTTTAATTTATGATTTAGGGTTCGAAATCCTTCAATGTGACAAAAAAAAAACCCTTTATCTAAGCTAATTTTAACTCATTTATCCAGACGCTTACTATATGATCTAACCCTTGGGTGATAATTAGCACTTTTTAAGTTATATAGATTTTGGCCTTACTCAAGCATGCATATGCTAACTACTTTCCTATGATACTATCTCAAAGTGCACTCAATCAGTTTATTACTTTCAAGTAGTTCTGAGAAGAATAAATTAATTATATACATTTACAGGCCAAGACCAGTTTATGATTAATATCCCACTCCCTAAACCAGGACCAATGGTACCAATATTGAAAATTAGTCATGTTGGTAAAGGATACCTTCCGCCTCTAAGCTCGGTTGTGGCCTGATCACCTGGCTTTGTTAGTTTCCTTTCCTTTGATTGTCTAGGGTTTTGGTGCCTGTGCCTATTCCCCTTTGCTTTCAGTCGTATCTCTGGAGGCTTTGGCCTGTTTATAATGAATTCTTATTTTCAACCACAAAAAGGAAATTCGTGTTGGTAAATGAATTAAGCAAATTATTCCGTATAACTAATAAATAGATAGTGATATGTAATTTGGTTTACCGTGTCACGTTCTCTCTTTATTCCATGCATGAGGAGGCCAGGCAGAAACAACAAATAAAGAAAGTTGGGGTTCTATCATAAGATCAATTTACAACATAGGGAGTAGTCAAATCTCTTATAAACCTAGAATTTTTTTACCTTCACATCCTCACCTGCCCCCTCACCTGAACTGAACACGTGGACAACACGAATTGGATGACGTGGAGCACGTGTGACCTTGGGCTTCACATATGGGACAACTTACTTTTATACCATGAAGAAAGTTAGGGTTTCATTATAAAATCAATTGGCAATATGAGAAGTAACTCAATTTTTTATAATTAAGCTGTTGTAATATTTTTCTTTTCATCGATATGAGAATCTTTTACATTTACATCTTAACAACAAGTAGCTTTTTTAGCACTAATTAAATCACGTCCACAACGTCAAAAGAAAGCTTAAATGCGAAGAAATTTCGTCGACCACCCAAAACCCTAAAAATATTAATAAAACAAAAAGAGAGAGAATGAGGGAATAAAAGCAAAAATATACAAAAGACTCTCCCTTGCTTTCCTCCTCTCTAGCTTTCTCTTTTCTCTTTCTTTCTTTCTTGCTCTGGTATTCCCTTGGTGTGATTCTCCACCACCATATTTCCTAAAGACCCATCAAACTTTATAAAAAGAAGAAAAAAGATCAATCACCATGGTTTTCTCATCTATTCCAGTTTATGTGGATCCTCCCAATTGGCACCAGGTGATGTTTCTCTAGCTCTAATTTTCCATCTGTAACTTCCATCTTCACCAAAATAGAAAAGGGAAGAACAAAAATAAAAGCAAATTAAAAAGATAATTATTCCTATTCCTTTGTGATCTCTTTGTGAATATACCAGAAATATTTGTTTCTTATGGTTAACTCATAGTTTCTTTTGATTTTTATTATCTTGCAGCAACCAAATTATCATCCACTAGGAGGTACTACTGCTGGAAGTGAAAATCCACATGAATTTCCACCACTCCCTCCACCACCGTCACTAACTCATGTCTGTGGTGCAGGCAGTATTAGTGGTGTTGGTGGTGGCCCAGGCTCCATCAGACCCAGTTCGATGTCTGATCGAGCCCGTCTGGCAAAGATTCCACAACCAGAAACTGCGCTCAAGTGTCCTCGGTGTGAGTCCACCAACACCAAGTTTTGCTACTTCAATAACTACAGCCTCACTCAGCCTCGCCACTTCTGCAAGACATGTCGGCGCTATTGGACCCGAGGAGGTGCCCTAAGGAGCGTTCCTGTTGGAGGAGGATGTCGCCGAAACAAGAAAACAAAAAGCAACAGCAGCAGCAGCAGTCGATCCAAATCTCCAGTAGCCACTGGCGATCATATCCAAACAGGTTCCAACTCAATTACCAACAACTCATCAAATCATATGATTGGAAATACTCCTCATCATTTGACACAACTACCACCAAGTCCCCATCAATCACTACCATTTCTAGCCTCATCCATACCAAGTCTAGGTCGTTATGGAGTAGCTGGGGACATGGGATTGAACTTCAATGAGATCCAGCAGGAACAGACTGATCATCACCATCATCATATGGGGTTTCAGTTTCATCAGATTGCAGGAGGCAATAATATGAACAATTTAAGTGGTGGAATATTAGGAGGGGATCATAATAATCAGTGGCGTAATTCGAACTTGCAGCAAATTCCATTTTTGGTCGGTACCGGGTTTGAATCATCAACATCAACAGGTTTATACCCATTTCAAACGGGTGATCAAGGAGTCGATCATCAAGCAACAACTGATCCAATGGTTGGGAATAATTCTAGGGTTAATACTGAGCAGTTGCCTCCTCCAGTGAAAACTGAAGATAATCATGGTCTTACTTTTACAAGTACCCCTATTTCAGCGGAAACTAACAATAGCCAGTTCTGGGGTGGAAATTTGAATGCGTGGACAGATTTATCAGGGCTCAACTCTTCTTCCACAAGCCATCTCTTGTAACTAGGTCGACGGCAACGAATTTCAAGAACCCTAACCATCATTAATGATGACTAGAGGTGGATCCAATTAAGAAATGGTAGGCTTTCTATTTTGTATTTTATTTTGTTTTTATTTTTAAATTTGAGTACTTATGTTGTGCTGGTTGGTATCGCGCGTGTATTAATGTATGGGTTTAATTACATATGTTTGAAGCACTTGGTCCTTAATTTGTGTATCATGGGTTGTATTTGAACACTATGAGATGATCAGCAGTCCCTGTGAAAACTTTTCATTTCATGTTATACATCTCTCATGTCTTCTTTCATCCACATGCATTGTACGGTAAAAATTGCATAGGAATGAAACTGCAAGATTAAGTACTATTATTTGACTGGATTCTTTGGCTTCGATGAGCTCAATATGCGAATCGAGTCATTGGATGACAAATCTAACTAAAATATAGCTCCATATATGCATTTCTGTTCATAAAATCTTCATTGAACACCACTTTAACAATCAAAAGCTGCAAATCGATTAACTAATTAAAGTTTTTGTCTCGATATACATTAATATACAAGCGTTATTCTATTGTATAAATGAGGATTCGAACTTCGTGCAAAAGTAAAAGCGCACTGCTTTAGCCAATTTGACTTAGCCCAAATCTGCATGAATCAAGAGGACAATAAGAAGTATGTAGAGATTCTATAGTTTAATTAATATTAACTATTACTTTAATTATGTGTGAACATGGGCGATAGTAGCTTCATATATTATTGAATTATTGAGAGCGATTCTCTCCACATCGTGGCTGGTATGCAATGCTCTTCATACAATGAGTCCCATGTTGGGCATATCGAGGAAGATGCAAAGGCTACGTTGTCCTCGATCGCTGGAGCTACTATCATCCATGTTCACCGTCAAGCCAACGGTGCTACCCATCGGCCTGCCCATTATGCCGTTCATAGCTGGAGTCCTTTTTTTTGGTTCGACGATCCCCCGGATCTTATAGACGTCTTAATTGAGGATTGTAATTCTGTTTAGTCAGTTTTGTACTGCTCTTCTTATTTCGAATCGTTTCAGTTGAAAAAAAGAGCTAAAGTAATTTGTTGAGGGAAATTGATCCGCAGTCCACCATTGCTCTGAAAAGGGTTGCCTTTAGGTCATTCACCAACACCAAGCACCGCCTTCAATGGTCTCTTTCTCAAAATGATGCGTCATCAGGACTGGAGAGAGGGACACTGACTCTACTTCCTCCATCTTCCCCAATTCCTCTAAATGTGGCAAATTTTGAACTCCAAGAAAGCTTCTCGTCTTATGTTTTTATGAGATTCGAATTCAGTAGAATGTTAATTTGTTTTCAGTCTTCACCTTGGCAGGAAACTTGCTTACTACATTTTTAGATTTGTGCGTCAGAGAGAGAGATACATGGGAGAGGAGAGAGAGAGAGAGAGAGCATCATTATCATGAATACAAGACAGTACTATGTATAATGATTTTGTAATAATAATAAGAATGATAAGGTCAGTGGAAGTACTTGTTTTACGTGGGTGAAAGTGAAAGTTGACGACTTTGAAGTGAAATGTCAGAAAATGCCAAAAATCCCACTAAAAACCATGCATGCAAGTATCCAATTTTCACAACCAACCAAACCCAAGTGATCTGCAACTAGTCTACAATATTGTTAATGTTATTCGTATCATGTTTTTGTACTACATTTTCATACTATTTTAGGTAACATTTGATGTGGACAACCACATTATTTAAATTAATCAGATTTTTAAATTTAGTTCATTATTTAATAAACTAATAACTAAAAAAAACTAGTTAATTAAATAATGATTGTGATATACAAGGAGTCTTTCTCCTTCATTTCCTTGAGTTTTGCAAAATTTTCAAATGATGTGGCTGTCCACATCAGATGTCACCTAAGGTGGTATAGAAATGTGATATAAAAACATGATATGAATAACATTACTCTAAAGAATTTGTTTTTTTAAAGACTAGGTAGGTTGAAAGAACTATATTTTACTTTTATATTAGCAACACTGAAAGTGAATCCGACACACAACTAGGGTGCTACCTACCTTTCTTTTAAACACTGTTTTTTAGTGTTTACTACTTAAAAACCAAACATGGTTCCCCCCAAACATTCTTTTGAAATTGGATCAAGAAAATAATAGAATTTTGTCACGTTAGAATATAACAAGGTATGATTAGATCTCTATATTGATCTCTTCAGAGATCGATGTAACAATTACATATTAGTATTGTAAGCTAAAAGGGGTTGGTCATCTTATGAAAAGGAGAGGCATCAAGGATTTGCTTTTGTGAGAACCAAGGCTGCCAAGCAATGGTGGACGAATAAAGCAATCAAGCAATCAAACCAGAATGCTCAGAAGCAAAAAACTAAAGCAGACACACACACTCTCTCTCTCGCTCTCTCTCTCTCTGTCGATATTTGACATTGGTCATGAGACGTATGCTGCAAAAACAGTTATTGTGAGTAGAAAATGTACATGTTGAGCAAAAAATTAAAGCAGACACTCACTCACTCTCTCTCTCGCTCTCGATATTTGATATTAGTCATGGACGTAGACTGCAAAAGTAGTTATTGTGAGTAGAAAATGTGATATGCATTATGCATATGGTGGTGGCAAAAGGGAAAGCAAAGAAATAAAAGAGGAATGGTTGCTGTTGATGAAGCCTGATGAGAGACTGACAGAGCTACGCCATTTTGGAAGAGCAAAGCAATCAAAGACTAAATCAAACCATGCAGGGCTCGGAATTCCACGACCTCAATTTTTATGTATGTTCATTTTGTTGACCCACTCATTGATAAGTGCTAAATCTACTCTCTCTCTCTCTCTCTCTCTCTCTCTCTCAGTCTTCAATGCTTGTGTTTTTTGAGAGATTTTTTAGTGTGTGGGGAACATGATTTAGTATATCAACTATCATAATATAAATGTTTAAATACTTGAAAAAAAAATTAATTACTTATATTATGAACCTTAGTGTACTAAATGATGTTCTCGCACAATAAAAAAGTTATGATGTCCCATAAGCAGATGGGCCTGCGTTTTATTTTTCCTTTTCACTTTATTCCTCTTTATCACCTTCTGACGTTTCTTCTTCTTCCAAATGGGCCATGGTTTAATTTGCATTTCTTTTTTTCATTTCATATTTGTTCTTCTTTAAACCTCAAAAAATTCTAATATATATTTTAGATAATATATAGTTACTTGCTGCCATCTGCATATTCAGTTTGAGTTGTTAGTTTTGCTACGTTTGCCAACGTTAAGCTTCGTAGGTATATATTCAGTTAAAAGCGTAAGATAGGTCAACAGTTTGCTGGATTCTTTACAAGTCGAAAGATAATGATAAGCTTAAAACAACTACAGTATACATAAAATTAACTTGGCCCTCATCTTTTTGGAGGAACGCAGAGAAATAACTTATACCGTTTCTCGTCGGCCATTTGGTTTTCTTGAATCTTTCTCGCGGAGTTTGGTAATTTTATTTCCACGAACGTATGTGTAGTTCTGATTGCCTAATTCTTCATTACTCTCGATGTTATTGTTAAAAAAAACCTTTATGATTAAACGCAGCAAACTCCTAAACAACATAATAATAAATTGTCATTATTTTACTAAAATTGACAGTCATTACAGATATCTGTCATGCAGTGCCACTTAGTAATACAATATAATAATATTCTTCTTCACTTGTAAATAAAAGGTTTGAATATCAAGAATAACGAGTTCGCAACTAATATATTCCCCCATCCCCTTAATGTAAATATATCGTTGTATTAAAAAACATATACACGTGGTACTTGTGTCCTTAATTAGCTTGCATTTTAAACTCAGATCTTTTTAACCATGTTGCAGGTATGTTCTATATTTTATGTAAAATTACTTGAGTAACTTCAGAGTAATTTGTTGAAGATTAATTAGCTTCCATTATATAATGTGCTTTACCAAATTATTTTATCTTGTGGCTTCAATGCTACTCATTGCTATGAACGTTTTAGCTGTTATATTTGATTTTCACAACTGTTTAAATCTTCTTTTTTCAATGTCAGTAATTTATTTATCGTATCATTCAACGCCACATACTATTGAAGATATTTTCTTATATATGTTGCATATTCTTTATCTGTTTATGTATATAATATGACAAGAAAAAAAAAGGCATTACTTAGTTTACACTTTATTAGAAGAGGTTCTAAACACATTTTATATTTCATACATGACGACTTGTTTGCTATGTTGTTAAATCAAAGAGCATAAAAAGAGGACATGGGGCTTGAAAGAAAGGCTCTAAATTCAAGTTTTATTGTAAGGAAAAAAAATGTATGTGATAAAATACTCCATTGCACAAAGTTCTCTGAATTTCATTTGGTATAAAGGACATGTTAGTATCTTGTCACATCATTGCCTCTATAATATAGCATGGTTTCCTGTAATTTTTTTTCTTCAAATGATATGATAATGTGGTCCTTAATCTTTCAATTCTGTTGATGTACAAAATAGGGTGGACTTTAAATCAATGCAAAGAATGATAAAGTGACCTTCGCAAGGGTACTTTGGTCGCTAAGTGGAAATGATAGGTATAGAGATAAAGGGTGTCTATAGGTAGAGATAAAATGTGTAGAAGTAAACATGAGATGTACGTGGTACCGGTTCACTATAAGTTGATTAGTTGGGCTACCATAGAATTAGAAATTCTCATTAATAATGCAGTGTTTACAAAATACAATGTTGGCTTAGTATAGATCTAAGCATAGAGATATTAGAGCATGATCGATATGGGACTCTAAGAAAGTTGTTGTAGTGTTGCCACGTGTCCTTAAGAAAATGGGCTCCAAGTTGGCGGAATGGAGATCCTCTTATCGGTTAATTATGAGGATAGCCATTGAGTAATCACCACTGTCGTGGTTCTTACTTCTTGTGAGGTTGGTTTGTACCTTCTTCGGCAGGAGTGTTTCAACAGGAACCCTTTGGTGGTTCATGGTACTTCCTTATTGACCGGTATTCGGTAATTTTGGGTTCAATATAATAGGTTACAAACAATTTTTTTTTTTTTTTTTCAATTTAAGTGGAAAATTCAGATAACCTTAATTTCTCAATCCGAGAGAGAGGATTCTTTAGAATTTCAAATCATGTTAGATTATCTCACTGTCTTATCGTGTTGTTGACAATTACTTTCTTCTACCAGATGCACAATATTCTTTTGATTTTAAATTCTACATCTCATGAGCAAAACATATTACGCATGTGCATGAAAAGTTCAATAATACATATAAGGTAGTATTATCCACACTTATTTAGTTATTTTTATGTCTCACACTTCTCTTAATGTTTTACTATCAGATCGAAGGAATTGAAAAATAATCAATGACCAAAACTTAACAATTATGTGTGAGAACTAAAAATAAATGTGTGAATAACACTATACCGTATATACACATACATGTCACAAAAGCAAGCCAGCCGTGTTCCAATATATAACTGTTCATCAAGCTTGTGCATACCATGTGATATGACAGGTTCCAAATCGCCCAAAACAATGGCAATTCCTTTCTCAATTACAACATGTTTGGAAAGTATTCCCTTGAAAACAATGGATATTTATGATGGCACGTTTGGTTGGTGGATACAAGTTTGGAGAATTTCCTTCTCATGTTTGACAAGCACATGCACTCATGAGAATGTGATACTTGTGCTTACATTCTTAAGGAACCCATTTCGTGAACCAAATATTTATTCTTCATTCATGGACTTCTATATAGAGAGACTGTAGTTATATAAAATATTATCTTTTCAAACCGCAAATATATGTCATCAGTTCGGTATATTTCGCTTAAATTATGAAAAATATTTACTGTCTGACAAGAAAATTTTATCCTAATCCATGTAGTTGTGATTTAAGCTCTAAGAATTTACAATGAGCTACATGCATATAAATGTAATTACACTCTTCAATAAAAGTGCGAGAGTTTTTGTTTTGTTTTGAGGTCAAAAGTGCGAGAGTTGGGAAACACAGTCTCTACATTTAGTTTTTGTTCATTTACCTTATTGATTGTACTAAAATAAAAGGATTTTCTTCGAACTCCCCTCCCCATATTGATTGTACTAAATAAATGGATTTTCCAAACTGAGGTCAATTAACTATTGTTGTCTGTTCACTAGAAATGTTCAACAAACAAGGTTTGATGTGATTTTCAAAATGGATTATGAGGTTTTAACTTTCTCACATTGTATCTATTTACACTTTTTGTCTCTTTGAACTTCTAATCATCCATTAAATTGATGAGCTTTTTTGTCAATGTAGTGCAAATATAACTTACACGACAGCCCACATAAGAGTCTCGAGCTCAGAAGGTCATCAATTTGTAGCTTGACAATGCCACCACCACCACCCCAATGCCCTGCAACTAATCTCCCCCTTTCGTGGTCGAGAGAGGGCAGAGGTTTATGTAGCTCTATCATGCCAGATCAGTGGTATTTTGGGCTTAGGTCGGTCAATTGAATTATTTGCAAATGGCTAATTTTGTACTAAAGATACTAGACCACATGTTTGTTTTCTCTATTACAATGGAGGAAGTCAAATCTTGAACCCGTTCTAATACAAGCCAATCCAGTGTAACAAACGGGTCCTAAAGGCTCTAGGACCTATGACTTAACCCCCATGTTTGAAGTATATTGAAGAGAGGTATTCATCAATTTCCCCCCTGAACTTGTGACCATTAGCCAATTTCCCCCCTCAACTTTAATTTTGGCCAATTTCCCCCCTGAACTCTTATGATTAGTCAATTTCCCCCCTCAACTTTAATTTAGCCAATTTCCCCCCTCAACTCTTATAATTAGTCAATTTGCACCCTACTGTTAATTTTTTAATTTGATCATAATTAAACAAGTGTGTGTAAGAAACTAAATAAGATGTATGTTAATCATGTTCCTATATCTTTATCCTATTACAAATAGATTAAAATTTAGAATTTTACAATTTATCATAGATAGTATTATTAGTCATAATAAATCAGTATGGAGTAATTTTATTTGATTTTTGACTATACAAAATTGATAACAAAAAGGATTGATGTGTAAATTTTTGTATGTGAATACAATTTTCTTTATAAAAGTGAAAGCTAAGTTCAAGTAAATTGCGGAGAATCGAGCTTTAGTGAAAAAATGGCTAGTCTATTCATAATTTTCGACTCCTTATTAAGAATAACCCATTTTATTGAAATATGTTTGATCCATGAGTTTAGGATTATTATTTCTTTTTGTTATTATTTCTTCTTCTACATGCTTTAAACCCGATTCATAACTTTTTCTTATAATCAACCCATGTCACATACTAACTGTATTATGTTTTTGTACATTTTACCCTATATTATGCAGGTGAGTTTATGTTAATTTTAGTACTTTGTTGGAAGCTATTAGAAAGATTGAAAATTAAGAAAAGAATAGATGGAAAATTAAAAAAAAAAAATTTAATAGTAGGGTGCAAATTGACTAATTTTGAGAGTTGAGAGGGGAAATTGGCCAAATTAAAGTTCAGGGGGGAAATTGACTAATTATGAGAGTTGAGGGGGGAAATTGGCCAAAATTAAAGTTCAGGGGGGAAATTGGCCAATGGTCACAAGTTCAGGGGGGGAATTGATGAATACCTCTATTGAAGAAAGGTAGAGGTGAATCGTTTCAGGGGATTAAAAGAAGTTTAGACATGAAAGAAATTTATCCATTCTAATACTAATCCGCCCATTTTGATTTTTGAGGGAATTGGAATGGATAAATTTTATTAACGAGTAATCCACCTTCTACCATTAAAGTTGAACACATTTTTTCATTTCTTCTTTCAACATACCTGAATACATGTGAGTTATCCATTTCAATTCAACCCTGCTAACCAAACGAGGCCAGCATCGGAAGCATTGCACATAACCTAAGATGCTATTGATTGCCATTGGCAATGAACCAACTACAAAACTTGAGTTAAATATCTCCTTCCTTTTATCAGGCCAACATTCACAAAAACTTTGCACAAATGTAGTTTGTGTTGAATATAAGCAACATCGCTTCACTAAAAACTGAGGATGATTACGGCAGTCATGCATGTTACAATTTGGTACATATCGCGTCAGATATATCTCTCCCTCTCCCTCCCTCTCCTTCTCCCTCTCTCCTTTCTTCCTTTTGTTGTTTTCCTTGAAAGTATTGTCTCATCCCACACAAATAAAATGATATGAAGAACTTACAGAGTTGGAAGGTGATCTTCCACCTTCCTCCCCTGCCAAAGCAAACCCGCTTCTTTTAATGCTAGAAAATAACAAAAGAAACAGCGAAAACGAAAGAGAACAAAAACTATCATCTGTCAACGGCATTTGTAGTGGTGGCTGGATGTGACTGGGTCTCAGATTGATCATCAGCTTGTGCCTGCGCCTGCGCCTGCTGCTCAGCAAACCGATTCATTCGCTCAAGCAACTGTGCAGCCTTTCTCTTGCCTCTATCTGTGCCATTTTGAGCCAACTCCAATAACAAAGTCATCACCCCAAGTTCCTGAGCCTCGACTATATGTTGTTGGTCACCAGAACAAAGATGCACCAAAACCGCAGCCGCATTTTCTCTGTTTCGGGGAGATCCTGTCCCAATAACTTCAACCAAAACAGGCACTGCCTCAGCAGCTCCAATGGCTGCTTTCCCTTCACCGTGGCTAGAGAGTATTGCTAGAATGGCCAGTGCTTCATCCACCATTCCACCTCCAGGTTCTGTCAGCAGCTTCATTAGGGTCGAAACAACACCGGCCCTTACTGCCTTCCCCTTGTTACCTTGATAAATGCACAAGTTAAAAAGTGCAGTTGCAGCATCTTTCTTCCCCCTTTGGGTACCTTCACTCAGCAATGTAACAAGTGGCGGAATGGCTCCCGAAGCACCAATTCTAACTTTATTTTCATCCACGACAGAAAGACTAAAAAGGGTCGCAGCTGCATTTTCCCGTGCTTCCATGCCTCCATTCTTGAGGACATGAACAATACCAGGAATTGCTCCAGAGGATATGATGCTTCCTTTGTTCTCCTCACATATGGAAAGGTTGAGGAGTGCTGTGACAGCATGCTCTTGGGTGCGGGAGTCGGGGGTTGAAAGGAGGCCTACAAGCAGGGGTATTGCACCAGCTTCAGCAATAGCCACACGATTGTCTGCATTACGTTTGGCAAGAAGGCGGATTTCACCCGCAGCAGACCTTTGATCTTCCGGGCTAACAGACATCAGCTTGCGGAGGAGAATTTCAATCTTAGTGCGTTCTGCTGGAGAGCAGGCGGATGTAGTTTTAATGGGTCGAGAATTGGGTCTTTTTGGTGGTTCAATGCCATTTGCCTCACACCACTGGGCTATGAGGCTACGTAAAGCATAGTTCGGTGTGAGGGTGGTGTTAGAGAGGCTTTGTTGTGTTTTCGGACATGTCACATGCCCTGCTTCCAGCCACTTCTCAATACAGGAACGCTCATATGTCTGCAGCAGTGGACAACAAAATCTTTTAAATTAGTGGTAGCATGATGTATCCTAGGGCATGGACTTAAAATGTAAAAATTAACCCCAAATATAGGAAAACAAGTATCCAATCTGCATGACATCTTTTCAACATCCCAATCAAAAAGTTTTGGTTTTGTTTCTGAAAAACCATACAACGGAAGGCAACCAGGCTGATCCCCAAATGGATGACGTATTGACCCAACATCTGGATACATTATAGAAAGAACAAAAATTCAATGTAACAACAATTTTTCTTCAAGAACAGGGTACATGTTATTGGCATCTGACACAAAAAGGAAACGAAAAAGACATCTAATAAGATCCCATGAAACATGAAGGAAAAAGGAAAAATGGATAATTATGGAGCAATTGAGTTCTTGGTATAAAAAACCAAGCATATACCTGCCCTGTTGAAACAATGATGGGGTCATTCATTAACTCCAAAGATATTGGACACCGAAAATCATCTGGTATAACTGGGGGGACTTTGTGATTCTTGTCGGTGGATGTTTGCCCGCTGCAGCTTGCTAATATATTCTTTCCCGCTGCAGGAGCATCCATGTCGGGGTTTTCTGTTTGTACAAAATCCTTAATTTTTTTCAGTAGCATTGACATCTTCTCGATGCTCTCCCCAGGATCCCCACCACTGAAAGTAACCATCTCATGCAAGGCTAGTGACTCTTCTGTGAGTTCAGCTATACCTGTCAATTCTAACTTATCAACCAATCTTCTTAGGACAGCTGGATCTGTTGCTGCCTCATTTTTACTGTAAAGGGACAAGAGATCTCCATAGAGCTCAACATCAGGCAAATCGAACCTTCCTTTGGCTCTTCTAAACTGAGCAAGAACAAGCTCAACCTGGAAGACAGATACAATTGACGAATATATTTACTCAAAAATCTCAAAAGTAATATCACAAACACATTTAGGAGTGGGATCTACTCAAATTCTTGTTTCACCACATACTGGTGTAAGTTTCAAGTCACCGTGTGGTTACATGTCTGTGTGAGTGGGTCATTCACACACTAAAGATCTTTTCATAAATTTTAGAGAATATAATTCAAGAATTGCACAAGGAAAAATTTGGCATCTCATTTTAACAATACATGACAAGGATCCCAAAGAAAACAAGTCAAGGCCAAATTCAAAAATATAAGATAGCCCTGGTTATCATATCACATCCCAAGACATTGACAGGAAGTTCGATGATGAATCTATACCTGTTCCTTAACTTCATCTGATATGTCAAGATTTTCATAGGAGATTCCACTTAAAGCTTGCTCCAATCGAGTTGTCACCTCATGAAACTTCATCATAATTTGCTCCCTTTCTAAAACCTACAAGTATGGTGAAAAAGGTTCAGGCAAGAGAGAGAGAGAGAGAGAGAGAGAGAGAGAGAGAGAGAGAGAGAGTAATAATCAAGGCATCATCTGAGTAGAAGTTTGAAGCACTCTTATTAACTTCATGGTTTATTCAAAATTGAAAATAATTATAAACATTCCTGAAGTGAATACAGCGAATATCCAACAGAGCCCAAGCAAATAATAGAAAGCAAAAGGACATTGTTAAATGGACCTTATAATATAAAACACCCAAGAGGTTTGTAACATGAAAGAGCCTCCTCACAAGCACGTTTCATACCAATTGGAAAATGCAATTCACTATTTCTATCAAAATTATACAAAGTGGTGACATAAATGATAAACACACCCCTTTTATCCTCTTGCACACCCCTGTTTAATCTGGCCTTTGATTCCATTTGATTTAATCAATCTAATCACCAGAAATAAAGAGGGGTGTGTGAGAACCTAAAAAGAGTGCATGAAAATCACCTCCCTATTCACTATGACAATGGTTTTAGTGAGACTTTAAGTTCAAATCTCAACCACTAATACTGAGGTCGGGGACACTCACAGTTTGTTTTAGCCAACTCATCTAAAGTTTGTTTCTGAGCATACATTTTTAGCCATCTTATTCCCTTCCCGTCTGAATCGAACTATAAAATAATATTACTCCTCAAACCCAAATGCCCCACATTCCATCATTACTGGAAAATCTTAGAATCAGGACCCATATCACTTTTACAAACTTA